GAAACCCCTTTCAACCTCACGTATGGCACAGAAGCGGTGATCTCGGTGGAAATCGAGGTGCCCACACTACGATTGGAGGCTTACGACAAGGAGAGGAACGATGATGAGCTTCGTACCAACCTAGACCTGATATAAGAGGTATGAGACCTAGCTTACATTCGAACTGCAGCTTACCAACAAAGAGTAGCTCGGTACTATACGCCTGGGTCAAAAAACGACACGTTCGCGTCGGTGACCTGGTTCTTCAAAAAGTTATGGTACCAGAGCCTGGTATTAGCAAGCTCAGACCAAAATGGAAGGGATCGTACTGAGTCAAACGATTATTCGGGGGAGGTACGTATGAGCTCGAAACCTTAGAAGGGAAGCATGTACCACAAGCATGGAATATTGATAACCTAAGAAGGTACTACTCGTGAACTTGCAACCCAAAGATGACGGACTGAAGAGAGGACTATGAGTCACTCCCAGAAGGCTACGAACTACGGTGCCGAGCTGACAGAAGACCTCGGCACCGAGACAAGTCCTAGTCGCCTCCTCGGCATAGGCAGACAAGTCCTAGTCGCCTCCTCAGCATAGGCAGATAAGTCCTAGTTGCTTCTTTGGCATAGGCAAACAAGTCTTACTCACCTATGAGGCATAGACAGCTCGGGTATAAACCTTATGGTGTCTAATTTACCTCGGCGTACAGTAACATAAGGTTAATCCCACATGGAGCCGAGCTTGTTAGCTTGGCACTTAGGGATAACCAACACTTAGACAAGTAAGTGACCCAGGCATAGACAGTTCGGGTGTGTACCCTACAGTGTCCAATCGTCCTGGCATGCAACGGTAATTATATCATTCTTAATAATGTTGAGCTCACCAGCTCGGTAGCAAACTATACTTAGGAAAAGTTCACTCCTATTTGGTTTAGCTCGCTAGCTTGGGAGTAATCTACACTTAGAAAATTTTTTACACAAGAAGATTGCCAAAAACACTTATATTTCATTAACGTAGAATTTTGAGTACAAAAAAAAAAAAAAACTATAACCGAGCTCGGAGGCCCGAGATGTACATTACATACAAAGAGGTCTAAGAAAAGAGGCAAGGTTATGCGTCCAAACTACCAGGTAGGTCAGTTTCCATGCGGTCCTCCTCCGCGTCCTCTCAGCCTGCCTCTCCTGACGGGCCCACTTTAGGGACTTCATCATCACTTTCCTCTTCGGAGGAGTCGGGTTCTTCGTTAGCCGCTTTTGCCATCTCAAGAGTAACATCTGACATGGAAACAGTTCTGAGGTCAAGCTCGGGAAACTTCTGTCGCATCAGCCACTTGCACAATTTGAAATAGGACCGATACGAGCTTGATTCGTACTCAACCTAGAGATTGTGAAACTCCGGAGACTCCTTGAAATCTTGGATGGCACACTCTCTCTCCTCAGCCCGCACCTCCTAGAAGGCAGTTTCAAAGATCTCGGTACGCTCTTTGATCATCGCATTGAGGTTCTCGTTCTCATGCTTGAGTTTCTCCTCCTCCGTTAGTACCATGATTAGCTCCTGCTGGCTCCGAGCTCCCTTTTTAGCTCGAAGAACCTCACCCCGAGCTAAATCCAGCTCGCGGTAAAGTTTTTGAGCGTTCTCCTCGGCTTCTCGGGCTCGCTTCAGGTGGATCTCAGACTAGTAGACAAGTGAATGAATGGAAAAGTTCACCTGGCGAATAGAAAGCAGATGTAAGTACCATTAACAGATGAATAAGGAAATAGAATAAAAAGGCGAGGTACTCACCACCATCCAGTAACTGGCAGCCCTACCCCCGAGCTGACTTGTGGGCATGTTAGCCCATTCTACGAATTTAGCAGGAAAAATGACGTCTATACTTTTGAGGAGCCCAAGCCCCGGGGTCATTATTCTCTCCTTCAAGAGCTAAGGCTCGGGCACTGAAGCACTCTCGGGCTTGCGAGGCAGAGCTCCCTCATCCTGGTCTTCGTCCAGGTCCACGACAGGAGGTTGGGGACGGATCTCCTACTCCGGAAGCTCGGCCAAGATCGGCTCTGGCGTAGCGACCTCGGGTGGGGCGGGAACTGAAGGACCGGCCTCCTGACGAGACTTCTTTGAGGCCTTCCTCTTCTTCCCCCTCTAGAAGCTCCTTAGAAGGTTTTCTACATCGACGTCTAGCATAGCTTCTTCAAGAGAAAAAGGAAAAGGTTAGTCACGAACTGAAGTAAGTACAAAATGAGAAAGAGCAATATGAGCGCCGAGGTGGAGGCCTACCAAGAGGACTCAGCCCAGCTCGTACAAGCTTTTCCTCGGCCAATAAATCTTTCATTTTTAGGTTGAGGTCCCTCTAGGAGTTAACGACCGCCTTGGTCTCCATATCTAGCCTCACCCCGAGGTCCTTGATGGGCACTCGCCAATGAGTCGAGAAGGGCCACCCCTCAGGGTTCCGGACAAAAAAGTACCTCCTCTTCCAAGCCGATACTTTGTTCGAGCTGCCGAACAGGATTTTGAACCCAAGGCGGGGGGAGATGTAGTAACTCTTTTGGGTATCCCCACGCAGGCAAGCGAAGTTCTTCTTGATCGAACAGATTGAACTAAAAGTGTCTAAGGAAAGAGGTCGGTTATACTAGTGGAACAAAGAGATCGTGCCAACTATGGTTCGGATGGAGTTCAGGTGTAACTAGTTGATGGTAATGTTAAAGAACTTAATAATTTCTATAATGAATGGGTGGAGCAAGAAGTGCAACCCAACTATGAGCTGCTCTTCAAAAACTGCGAGCTCATGGTGACCATGAACCCAAGGGTACTGACCCAAAGGAATACTAAAAGTAAGCGCGATCTGATTGAAGGATGACAACTCAGTCGGGCAAGCCTAGTTCGCAACATTCGCAGTTCAGGTACCCAGCCACCTCGGCTCCAAACCCGCCACGGCGTAGAGGCACCTTGGGTATCCAATCCAGTTCGGTACTGAAGAATCAGAGTTCCAACTCAGAGCTAACGGACCAAAGCGTCCTATAACCAATTCCGAAGGCCTTCCCAATAGATCTCGAATCTCTTGGGATCACGATGAGCCAACAGATCTCGAATCTCCCGAGGTCACGATAAGAACTTATCCCGGTTCCGCTTGAATCGGAGCTGGACGATAAGCCTCATCCACGTACAACCCTCCTCCAAAAATGGAACCAACCTTATCTCTACATCCCAGAGAACCCGGATCTTTTTTGTGAAGCCCACGGCTACTCCAGTATATAAAGACTCGAAACCTCAAGGCAAAGGTACGCGTGATTACTCTACTCTCTATCACTCAAGCTCCCAAGCATTCAGCTTGCATTTACAGTATACTTACTGACTTAAGCATCGAAGTGACCTCACCGGGTTAGCTACCCTGGGTTCTCTAATAGACTGTTTTGCAGATCGATCCAACTTGCTGTCCATTTGGAGTCCAGATTGCCCTCCAACTAGGAGTAGTCAAATCGCATACCATCACAGCCCTTAACAATAGCAACTTTCAACACTCTGGATTGTGCAATGGTAGAGTTGAGGTTGAACGAATGAAGAATCTTGTTCTAGAGCTTGAGTTTATCATTTTATGTGAAAAATGACAAAATTGCAAATTCTCTCATGGGAACGTCGCACATGTTTTCATAACTTACTAGGGACGTTGTGGGAACCGCACATTCCCTAAGAGTGTCGATTTGTCACTCCTTGTCACTCCCAAGTCCCAAAGAATGCGCTCTTTGGGTACTGTTATCACGCGAGAATGACTCATTTCTCTCGCTTTTTTTTTTTTTTTGCAAAATGCATTTCTATTCTGTGAAAATGGCAGGAAGAGGAGAAACACTCACGGAATGTTACCAAATGGGGCCCTAACTTCCTACCTCTTTCAATGTTCCCTTCTTTCCACTCTAGTCTTTGCCTTCGCCTCCTCACCCAACCCTCTAATCATCTACTACCTTTTTGGTAAACCCCTCATCGATTGCCTTACCCTTCAGCCTACAGTATCCATAAACTTTTAACTAAAAAACTCTTAAACCTTTATTTATCCAAAAATGGATTTGTTATGCCATAAAAAATGAAATATTAATCTTAACTTAATAGGTCTAGGAATTAATATGGACATAATAGACATTTAATGTCCTTGCCACTAAAGTAATAGGGGTTATAAGTCTATTCATCCCAAAAATGAGAAGAGATTTAAGGGCAGGCCAAAGTTGAGGGGAGATGAGGTTGAAGGTTAAGATTTACCCTCATTTTATATGGATAGTATTTGACGATTGCAATGGCGTTCGGTAGTGTGAAAATATTGTGAACGGGACCATTTTAGTCCTGTCCACAGTAGATTGTAGTGTTTTGCTAGGTGTGGATGGTCCCCATCCACAAAATAGTGTGGACAAGGATGGGCCACACCCCAATTTATCGTCCACACTATTTTCTCATAGATGGGCCACACTATAGTGTGGATAGTTTGTGGGAAAGATTCGGTTTAATACACCTATGTTACATTGGTCCAACTACTCTTATTTTATTTAATCCTTTAATATTTTAGAATTTATATAAAAATTATTTTTTAAATTTATTTATTGATGAAGATAATATTAATGACAAATATATTTATTAGTAATCATGTATTGGTGTTTTATTTTATCCGTTATTATTTTATATTATTATTTCAAATATTTTTTAGCTTAAATTATGGTTCTTTTTCATTCATGATCGTACGAATGCAAATGGGTCGGATCATGATCCGATCTAACCCGATCATATTTTTTCCATATTTGGATAACCATCCGTCATATTTTTGGATTAGATTGGCTTCGATTAAAAATCGGATCTGATTTAGATCGCCCTATCCAATATGACATGATCAATTGTATAAAATTATCTCACAAGTTGTACATGAGATGTATCCAATATGACATATTTTTGCCATATCTGGGTAACCATCCGTTATACTTTATACTGTTAAAACTTGAAAGCATAAAAGAAGTCTGCCCAAACAGCGCCTTAATAACAAGTGCCACCAACCCAGTTAAACCCCATTTCATTTGAAAACCCCCTCCCCTTCTTTCGTGGATTCATCTCTATTTTACTCTCTCTGTCTCTGTCTCTCTGTTTCTTTTCAAACTTTCCTCTGTTTCTGATACCGAAACTCGAAACTCTCAGAGCCATACGTGGATGGAAGCAATCAGGAAACAAGCCACCAGACTTAGAGAACAGGTCGCCAAACAACAACAGGTGCGAAACCCTGGTCTTCTTCTTCAGAAAACTTTAATTGCGCCTAATCTTATTGTCTCTAGGCCTATGCGATAGATCTGTCTCTTCCGCCTTATTACCCTTGAAAAAGACTTGTAATTTGTGTTGTCTCCTTCTCTCTTGTTAAATTGATTGGCTTTCGTTCGTTGATAATGTAGTCTGAGTGATCAGACAATTAGGAGTCTCTCTTTTATCCAGGTTTAGATATTGTTTGATCGATGGGTTTCGTTCGAGATTTAAACTCTGTGAATTTTTCCCTCTTTTTTTTGTTTCTATATTACCAATCGTATTGATCATAATACAAAGGTACTATTAGTTTTCTTCTCATCTATTTCGTTTTTGAAGGCGACAAGGGAGGTAAATTGGTTTTGTCAGCTTGTTGGTTACCAGTGAACTTTCGAACTAATTGACATGTTCAAGGTTCAAACAACACTCAGCGGGGATGGGCGTTTTGGGAAACTGGAGCACATTTGTAATTTCTGGCATGTGAAGAAAAACCAGAAGAAACAAACAAATCTGAGAATGAACCGGATAGATAAGTGAGTCCGATTACAATGTGGGTATTGAAGCGGTAAATAAAAAAGCGTCCAAAATGGTGCCAATGAAACAAGAGTAGTTTGACTTTTCCATCATAAAGGAAACGGAAGGGTTGTGCTTAAAATAGAATTATTTTTCGTGCCCTAGTTCTCGTGTAATGAGAATTAAGTGGGTGAGTTGTTAAACTGTCCTTTGAAAAGGATAAAGTTGCCATCTTGTGCCAGGTTTTGCCCAAATCCTGGGCTTTATATTCTGACTGAGCAGTTTACAAGGATGAGTCTCAATTTCAGCTTGACCTCCTTTCTGGGTGGGTACCCATCCTAAAAACACCCTAGAAAATGGTCTTGAGAATAAAAAGCTAGAATGTGCTCAGTGGTTTCTGAGCTCGATGTCTAACTCTACCTCTGACAGAGACCAAACATTTATTAGACAAAACAAAAAGGTTAATAGAAGGAAAAGGACTTTACAGCAAAAAAAAATATATATTTGCATTTTAATGAGGTTGTGTTGCCTACCATTTGAAAGTGGTTTTGCCAACAAAAAGGAAGTTAAGAAGTGAGTTGTCTTCTTATTCCTTCAGAAAATTGCAAAGATGTTAGCATGTTCAAATATCATCAATTTCCTTTGGTTGCCAATGATTGGATATCAGGTGCATGTAGTGCATGAATCAAATGTTTAAATGATTCTTTTTACAGCTTTTAGTGAGTAAGCTATTTTGGTATTGGATGTGGAGGATATAATCCATGTAGTGCCTGAGGAAAATAAACAGTTATGACCTCCTCCAGAAGAACAAATGCAGCTTTATATCTCTCATCTCATGCTTGTAGTTTGTATCTTAGTGATGGGGAATCAGCTAATCATCTCCTTCTCCATTGCTAGGTAACTAGGAAGATTTGGCACCACTTTCTCAACTTGATTGAGTATAGTTGTGTTACTGCTGAGCAGATTGTAGATTTTTTATGGCAATGGCAAGGTAGTGGGCTTAGCAAAAGAGGTCGATTTTTTTGGCAAACAGTTAGTCATACTGTGATGTGGGGAGTTTGGGGAGAGAGAAATAACAGAATATTTGAAAACATGCCCAGATCTCAAGAGGATTTGATTTCACACATTACCCATAGATGCTTTTTGTGGATCACCAACTCCGAGTACTTCAAGGGCATCTCAGTTAATGGGAAGGGGTGATGACTCTTAATTTTGATGAAGTGCTCTTGGTAATCCAGGTGCTGTGGGAATTGGAAAAGTAATCAGCAGGGGGACAGGAGCTTATGTTGGGCTTTTTAGTGGACTGCATGGGATTTCCAACTCTACAAAACGAAAAAATGTTGGCTGCTCACTGGCGTACATGCTGCTAGAGACTTGGATTTATTGTGTATAAGCATTAGAGGAGATTCTGCAAACACTATCAAGTGGCTGGGAGGAAAAGAGGGCAGATCGTGGAGACTAGCTCATTTCCTATCTGAACTCTGAAGCCAGGGATATTCTGAATTCTATGGATGTAAACCTGAAATGGATCCCTAGGGAACAAAATTTAATTGCAGATGGTCTAGCTAAATCTGGTGCTCAATGGGGCTAATTTATATGGTGATAGATTACTGCCTGTGTAGCTTATGTGTTGTGGTTGTTCTATTTCTGTTCCCCTATTGTACATCACCTCTTGTACTTCTTCCTTTAATTGAAATACAGTTATCTTTTCTTTTTTCAAAAAATAAAGGATTTACTCCATGTTGCATTTCTTATGGCTGCATGCAAATGTTGAACACATTGTCTACTGTCACTATGTGTATTTATTTGACTTAATTTTATTTTGATCTAGTACTTTTGAGTGATCAGTTTATTTCCAAATGCTTCTGTTTTCAAACTGCTCTACCTGACTATTATAAAAATGGCGCATGCATTTCAATCATGAAATCAAGTTTTTGATTTCACATTACTTTGGCCTTGCTGAGATCATGCTTGTTTCTTCTGTTGAATTTTGCTTCAGGCTGTCTTCAAGCAATTTGGTGGAGGATATGGAGGTTCAGATAATATAGTTACTGATGAGGCAGAACTCCAGCAGCATCAAAAGCTTGAGAAGCTTTACATATCAACTCGTGCTGGCAAGGTCATTCACCTTCCTTTAGCTTTACAATTTTATGAATTCACTTCCTTCTTTCTGAACCTATAAATTCTGCTGTCTTCTTTACCAGCATTTCCAAAGGGATATAGTTCGTGGTGTAGAAGGTTATATTGTCACTGGATCCAAACAAGTTGAAATAGGTTAGAATGCAGCTTTGATACGTTTCTACTGTTATTTTATTTTCACTTCTTACGGCTTCCATTTTGCTTTTACTAAAACAAACTTGAATCCCAAAATCTTGATAGGTACAAAGTTATCAGATGATAGCAGGAAATATGGTGCTGAAAATAATTGTACCAGTGGCAGTACATTATCAAAAGCAGCATTAAGTTATGGACGTGCTCGTGCTCAAATAGAAAAGGAACGTGGAAATTTACTGAAAGCCCTTGGTACACAGGTTTAATCAATCTTATGTCTCAATGGTGCCAAAACAGAAATCACTAATCCTTTGCAATATGAATCTTTATAAATTCTGAATGAATGAACAGTAGCTAGTATCCAGATGTTTCTAGCTTTTATCCTTCATTGGGCTTCAGTTGGAACTACATCCACTAGCTTTATCAGATGAGCCAGATGGAACCTTCATATGCAAATGTTACTACTTCCTGCAACTGCAAGTGGCCTCCTTGGTTTCCTGATCTCATGTAATGATTATAAGAACAACAGCAACAAGGCTGCCAAATCAGTGGATAGCTAAAAGCCTCGACCAAAAACAGCAACTGCAACCAATAACACAAATAAGTCAAAAGGGACTCTTGCCCATTATCCAGTATAAATCTGGTGTCTTGGTCTCATGTTGAGACTGGAATAGAATTAGATAGTGGAGCAAGATGTTCAATTTGGAGGCCGAAGCACTAGCCTTTCCAATGAAGTAGGAAAGATGGCATGTGGCCTTTTGCAATGTGCAGCATTCAACTAATCACTGTATGTAATCACCTCCAACCACAACACTCTCAGCACCAAAGATAGAAATAATCTGATGCCTTGTAACAAAGACCCAATAAGTGTTGTCATAGCACCACCCCACTCCTATAGTCTATGATATCAATTAAGATCACATCCTCAGTGTTCCCAAAGTTCATCCCATACCTGAAGGACCCAGGTTTCCTGGCAGACTTGTCTAGGCCCTATCCTGATTACACAGATCTTGTGCTTCTGTTCCAAATTTTAGGGCCATATATAATGTTAAATCACAAGTCCTCAAGTCTTTTCATTATCTCAGTCTTAAGGATCATTGTTTTCTTTATATTAACAATAATAAATTAATAACCATCTAAATAGACGGATATCATCTTCCACATGGAAGAGACCAGGGTTTAAAACTATGGTAGAGTTTGGTGAATTCCCATTGTCCTAAGTGGATAATGTAACTTGGTTTAGCTTTGATGAGTCCATAAAAAAGGAGAAAAAGAGAGAAATGTGAATGTATTCTGTATTTGTATGTTTTTTTTTTTTTATTTTTTTTGTAGTAGGATCCCAAATTGTTGTTTTTGAGTAGCTTTGTTGACAGTTTGGGTCTAGGGCTATTTTCGTCATTTTATAATTCAGTTTCTAATTAGGGGCAGTTGGGTGCATACCTGTTGGATTTTTGTCTCTTGGGTCTTTTTATAACAAAAGTTATCTTTTGGGGGTTTGTTTATAGTTAGTTTTGCTCTTAAGGAGTTGTTTGTGAAAGGGAAACATTCTAGGGGCTTATGTGGGAATATTTTAATTGGCTTCTCGAGCAAGCCATTGAGTCTTATAAAAAAGAAACGTGCTGTTTTTTTGTAGGGTTCTTTTGGTTCTTCTCTCTTGTTTGAGCTGTAGCTCAGCCCCAGTTAGGGTTTTCAAGTATTAGGAGCTTGGGTTTTGAGGAGTCAACCCATTTTGGCAACTTCCAATCCCTCTATCGCTGCGTGTCCACACAGAAGGCCAGCTTGATGCCATTGTTACTGTAGTGGACTGTTCCAAGAGGAGTTCTACTTCAAATTGAGGTCTGAAATCCCTAAAAATCCAATTTGTTTTGTTGTTTTCAGCTTAGCGTTTCTTGTGCTTATTGTTGTACACTTGAAGTGCTACATGTAATTGGTTTTTTTGTCCACATGAAGTGGTATTAGAGCAAGTTCTTTCTTTGGGTTTGCTTCAAAGTTCATCCCCTTGTTGTGTTTTGCCATATTATTATTGATGCAAGGGGTGGACGTGGTAGGGGTGGTAGAAAGACCACAACATGTCTCTATGGAAGTTCTCTAAGATGCTTTAAGAGGGCTGTAAGAACAGATTGAGCATCTTGCTCAATTTGTAGCTCAAAATGCTGCTAGGGATGATGACGTGGCAAGTGATTTGGGGCTGGTGAGAACAAGACAAGCTCCTAGAGTTGATTAACAGCTCACTGACATCATTAGTAAAGAATCAAATGAAGAAGACATTGAACAACCTTAAGGTGATCAGCATGAAAGGAATAACAACCGGCGAGGGGAAGATTGAATAATCCATGCTTTACAATCCAATCATGGTCATGGTGTTCAACTTCATATTAACGAGTTTGATGGTGAGTTGGAGATTGAAGAGTTTCTAGATTGGTTGGACAACATTGAAAATTATTTTGATTGGAAGGAAATGAATGAAGAAAGAAAAGTTAATCTTGTAACAACAAAAATGCGTGGGACAGCTTTGGATTGATGGAAAAGTTATCAAAGGGACAGAGAAAGGAAGGGGAAAAGAAATGTTAGTTTTTGGGAAGAATGAAAGAGAAGCTGAAATACAATTCTTACCACCAAATTATGACCAAACTCTTCACCAAAAGATGTAGAATTTAAGGCAATGGGAAAAGAGTGTAAAGGAGTACAAAGAAGAGTTTAATAAATTGATTCTTTAGAGTAATATGATGGAAAATGAACAGAAAAATGTTTGTAGATATATCAATGGTTTAAGGTTGCCAATACAAGATCAAGTCAGCTTACATTGCTCGTATAAGGTAAACTGAACAGCAGAATGTTTGTAGATATATCAATGGTTTAAGGTTGTCAATACAAGATCAAGTCAACTTACATTGCTCGTATAAGGTAAAGGATGCATATCAGCTAGCTCTGAAGGTTGAAGCTCAATTGAGTCGGAGCTCAAGGCGGAAACTGAGTGCTGTCCAAGGTACATCTTCATCAGTAGGTCGAAGTGTTGGGGCTGGTAGGAGTCGTGTGATCAACCAAACACGACCTAGAGTCCAAGGGATCTCAAATGCAACAAAGAGCAATCAAGGGCAGCCTACTATTAGATGTTTCAGGTGTATGGAATCGGGACATCATTCCAATGAATGTCCTAAGAGAAGGATTGATGGGCAAACACATTTGGTTGGTGAAGTCGTTGATGAACAACAAGATGATATAGGCCATGTTGATGACGGACAAGTGGCTGAAACTACTGAACTAATGCATTAGAGGAAGAGAACTTGGAAGGGTTGGTTGTACCTCAAGAAATAAACAAAGTAAATGCACGAGTGTGATATATTAGGATAACATTGTATGAAAAAGAGAGGTTCTATGTGATATTATCCATGATATACAAAATAGTCTAAATCCACTCCCTAAGATAACCTTTCTAAACCCTCAAAATCATGTAAGTTCAAAACCCAGTCAAGTATAAATGAGCTTATGTTTGGATAATATACCTGATTGAACGTTTATCCCATTAAAATTCTCAAATTCTTTCCTCCTAAACCTCCTAACATATGCAAAAGGATAAAAGTCCAATGAGTTCTTCCCTAGGTGCCCCTGAAGAAACACAAGTACCTGGTGATTCTTCTGGTACTCTACTTGATGAACTTTTGATATGGAGAAATGGAGATCTGAAGGATGTGTGCCTCACTGTGTCATGTATCTTACTTTTGTGGTTTGTTCTATGCTCCGTTGTTATATGATTAATTACTTCCAGTTCATTCACTTCTAGATTGTATCATATTCCATTTGAATTTTCAACTTCCCTGCCTTTGTGCTATTCTCAATTTCTAAAAATGTCTCATGTTCAACTGTTATATAATTCCAGGTTGCAGAACCATTAAGGGCAATGGTAATGGGTGCTGCACTGGAGGATGCTCGGCATCTTGCTCAACGATATGATAGAATGCGACAAGAAGCTGAAGCTCAGGTTGCATTGGATATGTCTGATAAATATATGTTGTCTTAAGCCATATTCTGCCTTGTTAGTCGTATTCTTTGATTTTCATGTATTGAATATTGATTGCAAGTCAAAAAAAAAAAAAAATTCATGTACTGATCTCCAATCAAAAGATCTAGACCCTGTACAATGAGATTCTGTACAAGGGAAACTGATCTGACCAACTTACAAGTTGCAATAAGCCCTAATACAGCCAAAAATATTCTTATAGTTTCCTTTCAAGAAGAAAGTCCTGATAAAAAAATGTCTTTTTTTGAACAAAGAGTGATTTGCCAACCAAGAAAACTCGATGCCCAACACTTTTCTGAGGACCTCTTCTTTTGAACTCTGTCTCCCCTTCAATATTCTGCTATTCTTTCAAACCACACTGCCCATAATACCGCTGCAGGGATAATGCTCCTTGCTTAAACCCCTTAGATACCATGCACCCATGAATTCACATCAGCTGAGAAGCACATCCTGACTCCAAACAGATCCAGCATACTTCCCCAAATCCAATACACAAAATCACAATGAATTGATAAATGATTTGTAGTTTCCACACTTCTATTCTATTACACTTGATTCAGCCCTCATCCGCCACTTCTATACCTCTTGGTTCTCTTCTAACTAAGCTGTACCTAGCCAGAATCTTATCTAGCACAGCTGACCAAACAAAGAAGGCTAATTTAGATGGCACATTTCTGATCCATATCCTGTCACTTGGAAAATCAATATTATCCTCCCTAGTCAAACTGTTATGAAAGGATTTAACAGAAAATTCACTTGATTTGTCAAATATCCACTTCCTTTTGTCTTCCCTTAGTCCATCATCCTTCTGTTATACAAATTCTGCAACAAGCTGATTAAGGAAGTCACCTCCCAATCATTCAAGTTCCTCTGAAATTGGGGATTCCAAACACAACACCTGTTCTGGATTTCCATACACTCGACCACGGTTGCATTCTTATTCACTGCAATCTCATAGAGATCAGGATACATGTCCTTAAGGGGGCCATCAACACACCAGTGGTCCTTCCAGAATAGAACCCTTTGTCCATTGCCAACGTCATATTTTACACCCTTCCAAAACTGAGGCTGGATATTCTGAATTGCCTTCCATACTGAACATCCATAGGAGGATCTTACATCTTCCTGTCTTTCAATATCTGCTACTAGAGTGATACTTGGATACATATATTCTTGTCCATAAACTATTTGGCCGCTCAATAAATCTCCACAATCACTTCTCTAGAGGTGCTGTGTTGACGTCCTTTGGCTTTCTAATCCCTAAACCCCCTTTATCCTTGGATCTGCATAGTGTCTTCCAATTCACCAGATGACGTTTATCTTCTCCTTCCACCCCTTGTACAAAAAATCTCACTGCTTCTCCAAAACAGCAGCTGTCCTTGCTAGGATTGGGAACAAGGACATGTAATATACAGGTAAGGATGTCAAAATGCTTTTAATTGGAGTGACCTTGCCCCCTTTTAAGAGATATTTTCTCTTCCAAGAAGCCATCTTTCTGTCTACTTTTTCTATAATAGGCTCCTAAATGGATTTAGATTATAATTATGACCCAGCAGCATGCCCAAGTATTTGGTTGGAAGTTTGTTGACTCTTCAACCCCATTCAGCTGCCTATTCCTCCAAATTTGCAACTTACCCCACAACCATAATTTCACTCATGAGGATATTAATATGCAAACCAGTAACCACCTCATACCATCTCAGTACAGTCCTAGCATTCCAGAGCTGCTCGGCTGCTCCTAGGTTGCCTCACAGAAAAAATGGTTGTCATCTGCAAATTGCAAGGGAGGTACCTCTACTTCCCTTCCATCTACTTTGAAGGCCTCCATCAAACCTGCCATGCTAGCTCTTTCTACAGTTTGAATAAGCTTATGTTACACAAATGAATAATAAGGGTAACAGGGGGTCCCCTTGTCTTAGATCCCTTGAACTCCGAAAAAGTCTAAATGAGTTTCCATTCACAAGCACCAAGAAAGAGGGAGATGATGTACAGATTTTATCCAATTTCTCCATCTCTCACTAAAATTTACTCTCTTTAATATATAGTCCAAAAAATTTGAACTTACATGGTCATAAGCCTTCTCCACATCATCTACTTTACACATTAAACCAGCTCTTCCACTTCTTTTCCTTCAATCAATTACTTCATTTGCAATAAGCACCCAATCCACAATTGGTCTCCCCCCAATAAACGCTCTTTGGAATTCAGATACCATTTCTTTCATCACCTTAGATATTCTGTTAGCTAACAGCTTAGCTATTCCACAATGCTGATGAACCTAAAATCATTCAACTTCACCAAACCTTTTCTTTTTGGAATTAAAGTGATGAATATGCGGTTTAAATTTCTTTCAAGAGCACCCCTTTCATGAAGATCCTTCAGAACCTTCATTAAGTCTTCACTATTCCCCAACATTTCTTGTAGAAAGATAGAGTGAAACCATCAGAACTCAGAGCCTTGCCCCCCTCTAGATTTTTTAATCATCTTCCACATCTCCTTCTCAGAGAAAGGATTTCTAATTCCCTAGCTTGCTCTTCCGATAAAATTTCAAACTGGAGATCATCTAAACCAGGTCAGTGAGGCCAAACTTCCTTATACATCCCTTCATAAAACTTAGCAACATGATTCTTTATCTGTCTCTCTTCAATTTCCACCCCTTGAATCTCTATTTTCTTTTTTGTGTTCTCCATTCTCGCATTTGCCATTTTGTGAAAAAAATTCGTATTGTCATCTCCTTTAACCATAAACATCTTGAGTTCTTGACCTCTACCTCTATTTAATCTCCTCTATATATGCAAGTTTGTCAAATTCCCATTTGGCCAAATCCCTTCTTTTTCTCCTCCCTTCCATTGTTTCCATTCTCCTCTGCCCTGCCAGCTTCAGAAATCACATCTAAGTATCTTCTCTTCCTATTTTCCACCCCCTTAAACACCTCTTTGTTCCAATCTTTAATCTTTAATTTCAGACCTTTCAACTTTTTGCTCATTATATGACTTGTGGAACCTTCAAAAGACATTTAAGCCCACCATTCAGCAACAAAATCAACAAATCCAAGTTCCTCCGGCCAATAATGCTCAAACCGAAAAGGAGCAGGACCACCCCTTATACCCCCACAGTCCAGCATCACTGGAGTGTGGACAAAGGTCTTGGCAGTGGTTCCAATGACATATTAAGAAATCTCTCTTACTAAAATTGCATTCAGTGGCGACCACAAATCTATCCAATTTTACTAAAGTTGCATCTTCCTGGTTATTTGTCCATGTGCATTTACCCCTCAGCATCGGCAAGTCAATTAACTCCCACCTTCTCATGAAATCTGCAAACCTTCTCATACCCCTTCTATTTTCTCTACACCCCTCTTCTCAAACACAAATCTAATTGTGTTGAAGTCCCTTCCAATTACTCAAGGCTGACTCCACTTCATCCAATTCTTCCCAAAATAAATCTCTCAGGTCCTCATCATTTGGTCCATATACTGTCATCAGTACCCACTCCCAGTCATTAATGGGAAATTGGGAATATTATACCAACATGTTTCTGTAACTTGTAAATATTTTGCAATTATATCTTTTTACCTGTCATTTAAAACAAACAAGAGGAATGAGAAAATAGGCCAAAAGTAAAAAAAAAAAGAAAGAAAAGAAACAAGGATGCACCTTGAGTCATGAATAACATAATTCATGGTTCCTTCCTACTGATAGGCTATTGAAGTCTCCAAACGCCAAGTGAAAGTGAGAGAATCTGGAGGTAATCCTGATAATATTTCAAAGTTAGAAGCTGCTGAAGCCAAGCTACAAGAGCTCAAGTCAAATATGGCAATATTGGGAAAGGAAGCTGCAGCTGCAATGGCTGCTGTGGAAGCTCAACAACAAAGATTAACACTCCAGCGGTTAATTGCTATGGTAATGCATCTGCTCCATTTTGAATGAGTGCACTATGCATGTTTGCATGTCCAATCGTTTTAGGAAGTTCGGTTTGAAAATTAATCGATTTCCCTTTTTCTTTGCACTGAAGGTGGAAGCAGAACGTACATACCATCAGAAAATCATACAGATACTTGATCAATTAGAAGGAGAGGTATGGGATCATGTGAAAAGTCCTCAAATGATAGGGACATTTTATTCTCATGCAGATGGATCTATACTCATTTATGAATTTGACATAGCTCAACCACCTCCTTAAAACAAGTCTGTAAATATACTATAATTTGTGGCAAATAGCAGATGGTATCAGAACGCCAACGAATTGAAGCTTCTCCTAACCCAACTGTGGACAACTCCATGCCACCACTTCCATCATATGAAGAAGTTAACGGTGTCTTTGCTTCTCAAACATTTGATGGTTCAACAGACAGCATGGGATACTTCTTAGGAGAGGTAACACATCTTTTCCTTGTGTCTTAGTTTCCACTGATATGCACCACAGGTTTTCAATGTCTATTTTCTTTCTGATTTACTCTTCTTTTCATTTTCTTCTAGGTTATGCATTCATATCAGGCCGAGTCAGATGTGGAGCTGAATTTGTCAGTTGGTGACTATGTTGTTGTCCGAAAGGTTTTCCTTTCCTCCTTTATAACATTATTTTATTTGACATATCTTCTAGTCTATATCCAGCCGACAACCAATGCTAAAATCAAGTAGCATATTTTACATACCTAAATGAAGTTTAAGCCTCACAAGGGCACAATCTATAATAGATAAACAACTGAAAAATATAATAGTGTTAGTTGGATAAAGTGGAGATGTGCTTCAAGAGTGCAGTGCAATTGCCTTACACTATTCATCATATACTGAAGCGAGAGTTTTGTATGATCGAATCCTTTAAATGAGAAGGTGAGGGTTACAAGGAAATTAGGTCAAATGGTGAGACAATATTGCCAGATTCAGACCAGACCAGACCAGACCAGACAGTGAACCATTTAACTGCAACTCAGTAGCATATTTTGGTTTTAGAAAGTTTCTTTTTTCTTTTAATTTCTAATAAATCCTTTTAAACTGCTGTTGATCCAGGCAGTTATCTGAGAACT